CTTGTAAATTCATACAATGGCCCCTTAAGCCTTCATGTGAAATTTCATGGCAAGACGACTCGTTTTCCATTTTTCATGATTTTTGAAACTTTTTACGGTCCGGGATTTTTTAAAATTTTTTCAGAAGGAGTTTTAGCCCCAAACCTGGTAGAAGTGATCCTTCTATTTTTTTTGGCATGCACAAAAAAAGTCAGCTAAAAACTCGAAAGTGTACAAGATTTTGTGACCATTTGAAAAAAGTGTCCCCATTTCAGACACTTTAATGGCTACTGGCAGCAAACCTGTAAAATCTCAAATGCGCTTTAAGGGGGTGTGAGTTCTTGAGGTTTGATGAGGGATAGGGGGCCAATATAAGGGCCAAGTACCAGCACCCATCACACATTATGTGTGCACACCCCCCCGGTCCCCCCAATCGTCGGAACCCTAATGCCGCCGATCAGGTTCTCCGGCGATGCTCCCACGATAGTGCCCGAAGCGAAAAAAAATGTGACACCAGCACATGCCTGAGCCCAGCACGTGCTGTCGCAACCCTCGGTCCGGTCTGATCTTAGACTGGGAATGAACTTCGTATGCTTAGATTGGGAATGAACTTCGCATGCCTAAGTCAACCCACAAAATGAGCGTGCGGGCGTTCAGCCGGCCAGAGGGGCGGGATGCATAAGCCAAGGATCTACCACATCCCCCTCTACGTGCTGCTGATCTTGCTACCATAACCCTCAGTCCGGTCTGATCTTAGACTGAGAATGAACTCCGTATGCCTAAGCCAACCGACGAAACGAGCGGGCTGGCACTACATCGACCAAAAAGGCGGGATGCGAAAGCCATGGATCGATGGGGTGGTAGGTGGGTTTAGGCACATGTTCATATTTCTGCTCTGCCAATGCCACTTTTATAGCTTTTAAATTCATACAATGGTCCCTTAAACCTTCATGTGAAGTTTCATGGCAAGATGACTCGTTTTCTATTTTCCACGATTTTCAAAACTTTTTACGGTTCGAGATTTTTTCAGAAGGAGTTTTGGCCCCAAACTTGGTAGACGTGATCCTTGTATTTTTTTTGCATGCACAAAAAAAATTGAGCTAAAAACTCGAAGTGTATAAGATTTTGTGACCATTTGAAAAAAGTGTCCCCATTTCAGACACTTTAATGGCTACTGGCAGCAAACCTGTAAAATCTCAAATGCTCTTTAAGGGGGTGTGAGTTCTCGAGGTTTGATGAGGGATAGAGGGCCAATATAAGGGCCAAGTACCAGCACGCATCGTACATCATGTGCGCACACCCCCCAACCCCTCCAATCGTCGGAACCCCAATGTCGTCGGTCAGGTTCTACGACGATGCTCCGACGATGGTGCCTCGGGTGAAAAAAATACGGCACCAGCACATGCTCGAGCCCAGCATGTGCTACCGTAACCCTCGCTTCGGTCCGATCTTAGATTGGGAATTAACTCTGTATGCTTAGACTGGGAATGAACTCCGTATGCCTAAGTTAACCCACGAAACGAGCATGTGGGCGCTCAGCCAGCCAGAGGGGCGGGATGTGCAAGCCAGGGATCGACCGAGTCCCCTTCTACGTGCTGCCAATCCTGCTACCACAACCCTCAGTTCGGTCTGATCTTAGACTAGGAATGAACTCCATATGCCTAAGCCAACCGACGAAACGAGCGGGCGGGTGGGCGGCCACTACGTCGGCCAGAGAGACGGGATGCGCAAGCCGTGGATCGATGGGGTGGTAGGTGGGTTTAGGCACATCTTCATATTTCTATCATGCCAATGCCATTTTTATGCCTTGTAAATTCATACAATGGTCCCTTAAGCCTTCATGTGAAGTTTCATGGCAAGACGGCTCATTTTCTATTTTTCACGATTTTTTAAACTTTTTGCGGTTCGGGATTTTTTAAAATTTTTTCAGAAGGGTTTTTGGCCCCAAACTTGGTAGACATGATCCTTGTATTTTTTTTGGCATGCACAAAAACATTCACCCAAAAAATCGAAGTGTACAAGATTTTGCGAACATTTGAAAAAAGTGTGCCCATTTCAGACACTTTAATGGCTACTGGCAGCAAACCTGTAAAATCTCAAATGCGCTTTAAGGGGGTGTGAGTTCTTGAGGTTTGATGAGGGATAGGGGGCCAATATAAGGGCCAAGTACCAGCACCCATCGCACATCATGTGCGCACCCCCCCGGCTCCCCCAATCATCGAAACCCCAATGCCGTCGATCAGGTTCTCTGGCAATGCTCCAACGATGGTGCCCCGGGCGAAAAATAATGCGGCACCAGCACATGCTCGAGCCCAGCATGTGCTGCCGCAACCCTCGGTCCAGTCTGACCTTAGATTGAGAATGAACTCCGTATGCTTAGACTGGGAACGAACTCCGTATGCCTAAGTCAACCCACAAAACGAACGTATGGGCGCTCAACCGGCCAAAGGGATGGGATGCGCAAGCCAGGGATCAGCGGGGTCCCCCTCTACGTGCTGCCGATCCTACTACCGTAACCCTCGATCTGGCCCAATCTTAGATTGGGAATGAACTCTGTATGCCTAAGCCAACCGACGAAACGAGCAGGTGGGCGGGCAGGCGGGCACTACGCTGGTCAGAGAGGAGGGATGCGCAAGCCGTGGATCGATGGGGTGGTAGGTGGGTTTAGGTATATCTTCATATTTTTGCCATGCCAATGCCATTTTTATGGCTTGTAAATTCATACAATGGTCCCTTTAGCCTTCATTTGAAGTTCCATGGCAAGACGACTCATTTTCTATTTTTCATGATTTTCGAAACTTTTTACGGTTCGAGATTTTTTCAGAAGGAGTTTTGGCCCCAAACTTTGTAGACGTGATCCTTGTATTTTTGTTGGCATGCACAAAAAAATTCAGCTAAAAACTCGAAGTGTACAAGATTTTGTGACCATTTGAAAAAAGTGTCCCCATTTCAGACACTTTAATGGCTACTGGCAGCAAACCTGTAAAATCTCAAATGCTCTTTAAGGGGGTGTGAGTTCTCGAGGTTTGATGAGGGATAGGGGGCCAATATAAGGGCCAAATACCAGCACCCATCACACATCATGTGCGCACACCCCCTCTGGCCCCCCAATCATCGGAACCCCAATGCTGCCAATCAGGTTCTCCGGCGATGTTCCAACGATGGTGCCCCAGGCGAAAAAAAAATGCGGCACCAACACATGCTCGAGCCCAGCATGTGCTGTCGCAACCCTCGGTCCGGTCCGATCTTAGACTGGGAATGAACTCCGTATGCTTAGACTGGGAACGAACTCCGTATGCCTAAGTCAACCCACAAAATGAGAGTGTTGGTGCTCAGCCGGCCAGAGGGATGGGATGCGCATGCCGGGGATCAGCCGGGTCCCCCTCTACGTGCTACCGATCCTACTGCCGCAACCCTCGGTCTGGCCTAATCTTAGACTGGGAATGAACTCTGTATGCCTAAGCCAATCGATGAAACGAGCGGCGGGCGGCAGGCGGGCACTACGCTGGCCAGAGAGGCGGGATGCGCAAGTCGTGGATCGATGGGGTGGTAGGTGGGTTTAGGCACATCTTCATATTTCTGCCATGCCAATGCCATTTTTATGGCTTGTAAATTCATACAATGGTCCCTTAAGCCTTCATTTGAAGTTTCATGGCAAGACGACTCGTTTTCTATTTTTCATGATTTTTGAAACTTTTTACGGTTCGGGATTTTTTCAGAAGGAGTTTTGGCCCCAAACTTCATAGACGTGATCCTTGTATTTTTGTTGGCATGCACAAAAAAATTCAGCTAAAAACTCGAAGTGTACAAGATTTTGTGACCATTTGAAAAAAGTGTCCCCATTTCAGACACTTTAATGGCTACTGGCAGTAAACCTGTAAAATCTCAAATGCTCTTTAAGGGGGTGTGAGTTCTCGAGGTTTGATGAGGGATAGGGGGCCAATATAAGGGCCAAGTACCAGCGCCCATCGCACATCATGTGCGCACACCCCCCGGCCCCGCCAATCGCCAAAACCCCAATACCGCCGGTCAGGTTCTCCGACAATGGTGCCCCGGGTGAAAAATAATGCGGCACCAGCACATGCCCGAGCCCAGCATGTGCTGACACAACCCTCAATCCGGTCTGATCTTAGACTGGGAATGAACTCCATATGCTTAGACTGGGAATGAACTCTATATGCTTAAGTCAACCCACGAAACGAGCGTGCTGGCGCTCAGCCGGCCAGAGGGGCGGGATGCGCAAGCCGGGGATCGGTCGGGTCCCCCTTTGCCTGCTGCCAATCCTGCTACCACAACCCTCGGTCTGGTCCAATCTTAGGCTGGGAATGAACTCCGTATGCCTAATCCAACTGACGAAACGAGTGGGCGGGCGAGCGGGCACTACGCCGGCCAGAGAGGCGGGATGCGTAAGCTGTGGATCGATAGGGTGGTAGGTGGGTTTAGGCACATCTTCATATTTCTGTGTGCCAATTCCATTTTTATGGCTTGTAAATTTATACAATGGTCCCTTAAGCCTTGATGTGAAGTTTCATGGCAAGACGACTCGTTTGCTATTTTTCATGGTTTTTGAAACTTTTTACGGTTCAGGATTTTTTAAAATTTTTTCAGAAGGAGTTTTGGCCCCAAACTTGGTAAATGTGATCCTTGTATTTTTGTTGGCATGCCCAAAAAAATTCAGCTAAAACTCGAAGTGTACAAAATTTTGTGACCATTTGAAAAAAAAGTGTCCCCATTTCAGACACTTTAATGGCTACTGGCAGCAAACCTGTATAATCTGAAATGCTCTTTAAGGGGCTGTGAGTTCTCGAGGTTTGATGAGGGATAGGGGGCCAATATAAAGGCCAAGTACTAGCACCCATCGCACATCATGTGCGCACACCCCCCCGGCCCCCTCGATCGCCGGAACCCCAATGCCGTCGGTCAGGTTCTCCAGTGATGCTCCAGCGATGGTGCCATGGTGAAAAAAAATGTGGCACCAGCACATGCCCGATCCTAGCATGTGCTGCCGTAACCCTAGATCCGATCCGATCTTAGACTGGGAATGAACTCCTTATGCTTAGACTGGGAATGAACTCCGTATGCCGAAGTCAACCCACGAAACGAGCGTGCAGGTGCTCAGCCGGCCAGCGTGGTGGGATGCGCAAGCCGGGTGTCACGGTCCGCGCGTTCCTACTTCTGAAACCACACATCCGTGCGGCACCAAAACTAATCCTAGTCAAGGTCAGCCTTCTAACGTGTCAATTTTTTTACGGACAGACCAATTTCGATCCTTCGAGCAACATGCCCATGAGCCTTTTCAGGCTTTGACCCCGTAGGGTCACTCTTTTTGAACTTTACAGAGAGGAACCCAACTCTCATCGTGCATCAGCACGAGGTTTTTCTGGCCGCAAGGCTTAAGGCCTCGAACACAGGCCCTTAAATCCCCATAAGGGCATACAACCCTCGATTCGTAACATCGCCCTGAACACTCAGCTCTGCCCGCATGGCTTTGGAGCTTGAGCCCCAATCCTTGTATGTCCATAAGGATACACAGTCCCAGTTCTCATGATATTATTACCTCTTAGCATGGTGAGAACCCAACACCATGCCTGCTCGTATCGTACGCAAGCTCTCGTATCGAGTTTATGCAAGCCCACAACTAAGCTGGTCGGCAACCAGCTCGGAGCCTCTAGGCTCGTCTTATCCCATGGGACTCGATTCTTAGGGCTTAGGCCCTTAGTATCTGTATCGGCTGCCCGCACGCATGATTGACACCTAACATCATGCTAGTCCCACAAGGGGACTTAGGTGGATTGCCCCAGTTGCAGCACACTAGCCGCCCGCACGCATGGTTGACACCAACCATTATGCTAGTCCCGCAAGGGGACCAGCCGCTCTCATGCAAGGTTGACACCAACCATCATGCTAGTCCCGCAAGGGACTTGGGTGGACTACCCCAATTACAGCACACCTCTCCCGACTGGCCACAGGGGCCTAGCAGCATGCCTGTCTGCTAGCCCACACATCCCTTTGGCTCGATGGCATCCCTCTTACATAAACACCATTGCATGATCCTTCTGACTCGAGGAGGGGAAATCGAGAGGCCTAACGATCTCTACCGTCTAACCCCATGGTTCAACGCAAAGGCGCAATACGAGGCCTGCTGACCCTAACCGCCCCTAGGTTTACCGTGACCCGAGGAAACATCATGCCACGCTCGTGACCCTACAATGCCCGCCCACCTAGCCGCCAGCAGTGACTAGGAGTAGCTCACTTCAGACTAGCCAGGCCCCCACCTGCCCACTAGCCAAGGGGGTGGTGGAAAGCTGACACCAGTCGTCCCCCTATATAAAGCATTAGAGATTTTCCCAATTTGCTACCAGTGACCGTAAGAATGTCTGAAATGGGGACACTTTTCTACCTAGCCATCTCAGGGCCTTTCTCCAGCTCACTCAGGGCCCTGTAACCTTCCTCTTGGTCACCTTTGCTCCTTGATTCCACTCGTTGCTCCACCAACCCACTCGAAGGTGCCCATACATGGCTTAGACCGACAGCACTTGACTGGCTAGCTGGTATCAGGGCACCGGCGTACTGCCTTATACTTACCTGCATATCTCAGGGTTTAGGACATAGATCGTCCACACACAATGTCCCCAACCTATTCCCATGCTCGGAACGCCTGCACACTGCTTCCACAGATGGCACCCGCCAGGCTACTTGGCTTGAGGGTGTCCGACCACTGTCTCAAACTTCCCTGCGTATCTCACGGCCCAGAGCTCCCATGGCCCCCACAACATGTTAGCATCATGTTTCAAAGCTCCGAATGCATTCTCGCATTCCTTAGAACTGCTTTCCCACCAGCTCAGTCTCGATCGCTACTCAAATCAGGGTCAGTCATGGCAGGACCAAGGCCTGACCATGACACTCTCCCCCACTTACTATGTCGATGCCCTCATCGACGCCAAGACCACACCCAACTATCTTGTTGCACACAGCTGACATTTACTTATATGTCTCTCACTTGTGCCCTCAAGGATTAGGTCGAGGTCCCATCACATGAGGCACCACCCACAATATTCATCCATTGTTGATGTAGATTGGTCACATTGCCGCACTCATGCCACTCAGCTCGGTTCCTGCTCGAACCTTCTAACCTTTTCTTGGTTGTTCCATGTGGGCCATACCATAGCTTTATCTCTTGATCATGTCATGTTGCGACCTTGAGGCACCCTGATTGATCAATGGCCCTCAGTAGAATGAACGGCCACCCACTTTGCCACTCACTGGTGCATCCCACCAGACGTGACCTCTCACACCAACTGCATGCTTGCAGCATCAACCCACTGATGTGTCCCTCTGGACGTGGTGCTTAGGTCAACCGCACTCATATGGCACCCCACATGATAGACCCTAGCACGGTGGCATTCAAGCACTTTGGTCATCCCCAACTTGGGTCCTCTCGGCCCCTCCAAGGTCACCCCTCTAGGTGTGGCCCTCTGGCCAACCGCCCTCAAAACGGCACCTTAATGCATGCTCACTCGATCTTTGCTCCCAGCTTGAACACTATGGTCCATTGCTTAAGCTCGTTTGTCTTGGCTCAGTCTCACAGGGAATTGACAAGTCTCCCCCACTTTTTACTCGAAACTCGACGTAGCATTATGCGCAACCAAGTCTCCTCGATGGATCTACTGCTCGTTTGCCTTGACTCTAGCATGGCTCTTATGACATCTCAAAATCCACTCACACTCAAAGATCCACTGATCTGACAAAATGCCTAGTCCACTGATTTGCTTAACTTAGGGATTCACTAACCCACTCCATTCTCAAGGTCCATCGACCCACACCATCTGAAGGCCTTGTCAACTGGCCAATTTCCAATTGTTTGTTCCACTCGATTACACCCTGTCGTGGCCCACTGACCACCACAGCTCATGTGAAGCCTTTGCTATTGACCAACACAGACTTGGTTCACTGATTGACACGCTCTTGTGATCCTCTGACCACGAGAATTCATGGTCCACTAACCAACACAACTCATGGTCCACTGACCATCCCGCTTGTGGCTTCACTCTTTAGCCACTCCATACTCTTCTGTGTAATAGCTTCATGCTTGAGAACCCAAATACTTCGGCTTGCACCCTCGCTGGGGCACCTGCACCACGCAGCAAGTGCACACATTAGTAATTAATCTTGAAACTCGATACCTCTTGCCCCTCAGGACAAGATTCACTCAGCCTATGTGGCCTTACGCAACACCATTTCATGGTGTAAGCCCCTTTTCGCATCATGGTCTCACTACGGTTCCTTACACCGTAAGGCATCACATGCCTCAACACATGCCAACACCCTTTCCTAGCTGAGGCTAGACTCTGGTGCCCTTTTGCTTGGCATCCAAAAGCCTACTCGAGAGCCATTTTACATAGGACCAATATTTCCAGCAGCACGCATCGTTGGCTCATTTCTGAGCCCCTATAGCCACAGAACCGCATTCGCGTCTTGGTAGCTCCTTTTGAGCTTAGCACCATCTCGACTTCACGTCACTAGACCCACACATGGGGTCATGTAAATCTCACCACTGAGCCAAACCAAGGCTCTGATACCAAATGTCACGGTCCACGCGTTCCTACTTCTGAAACCACGCGTCCATGCAGCACCAAGACTAATCCTAATTAAGGTTAGCCTTCTAACGTGTCCATTTTTTATGGACAAACCAATTCCGATCCTTCAAGCAACATGCCCGCGAGCCTTTTCGGGCTTTGACACCATAGGGTCACTCTTTCTGAACTTTACAGAGAGGAACCCAACTCTCATCGCGCGTTAGCCCACGGTTCTTCTAGTCGCAGGGCTTAAGGCTTCGAACACGGGCCTTCGAATCCCTATAAGGGCATACAACCCTCGATTCGTAACGTCGCCTCGAGCACTTAGCTTTGCCCGTAGGGCTTTGGAGCTTGAGCCCCAATCCTTGTATGTCCGTAAGGACACACAGTCCCAGTTTTCATGATATTATTACCTCTTAGCATGGTGAGAACCCAACACCACGCCTGTTCGTATCGTACGCAAGCTCTCATATCGAGTTTACGCAAGCCCACAACTAAGTTGGTCGACAACCAGCTCGGAGCCTCTAGGCTCGTCTCATCCAACGAGATTCGGTTCTTAGGGCTTAGGCCCTTAGTATCTATATCGACCGCCCATACGCATGATTGACACCCAACATCATGCTAGTCCTGCAAGGGGACTTAGGTGGACTACCCCAGCTGCAGCACACTAGCCGCCTGCATGCATGGTTGACATCAACCATTATGCTAGTCCTGCAAGGGGACCAGTCGCCCGCAAGTATGGTTGACACTAACCATCATGCTAGTCCCGCAAGGGACTTGGGTGGACTGCCCCAACTGCAGCACACCTCTCCCGACTGGCCACAGGGGACTAGCAGTATGCTTGCCTGCTAATCCGCACATCCCTTTGGCTCGATGGCATCCCTCCTACATAAACACCATTGCATGATCCTTCCGGCTCGAGGAGGGGAAACCGAGGGGCCTAACGATCTCTACCGTCTAACCCTATGGTTCAACACAAAGGTGTGATACGAGCCCCGTCGGCCCTAACCGGCCCCTGGTTACCGTCCACACACAATGTCCCCAACCTATTCCCATGCTCAGAACGCCCACACACTACTTCCACAAATGGCACCCGCCAGGCTACTTAGCTTGAGGGTGTCCGACCACTGTCCCGAACTTCCCCGCGTATCTCATGGCCAAGGGGACCCATTGCCCCCACAACATGTTAGCATCATGTTTCAAAGCTCTGAATGCACACCCACATTCCTTAGAACTACTTTCCCACCAGCTCGGTCTCGATCGCTGCTCAGATCAGGGTCAGTCATGGCAGGACCAAGGCCTGACCATGACACTGACGATTAGTGAGGCCCTCCTTTACATGCTGTCAATCCTGTTGCCACAACACTCGGTCCGATCTGATCTTAGATTGGTAATGAACTCTGTATGCCTAAGCCAACCGACAAAACGAGCGGGCGGGCGGGCAGGCACTACGTCAGCCAGAGAGGCGGGATGCGCAAGTCGTGGATCGATAGGGTGTTAGGTGGGTTTAGGCACATCTTCATATTTCTGCATGCCAATGCCATTTTTATGGCTTGTAAATTCATACAATGGTCCCTTAAGCCTTCATGTGAAGTTTCATGGCAACACGACTCGTTTTCTATTTTTCACGATTTTCAAAACTTTTTACGGTTTGGGATTTTTTAAACTTTTTTCAGAAGGATTTTTGGCCCCAAACTTGGTAGATGTGATCCTTGTATTTTTATTGGCACACATAAAAAAATTCAGCTAAAAATTTGAAGTGTACAAGATTTTGTGACCATT